GTTGGGGTAGATGGGTACTGACATTTACCCACCAATATAGCATCACACAGGACAGTTTCACTGCCCTAAAAATCCTCTGTGTTTCACCAATTCACCACTCTTTCCCCCTAGCCCTGGGAAAATACTGACCTTACTAGCTGTAGTTTTGCTTTTAGCAGTGTGTTGTAGAGTTGGAATCACACAATAGAAATGAGGCTTTCTGACATTGGCTTCTCGCACTTAGTAATATGTGTTATAGTTTCCTCCATATCTCAGGGCTTGGTAGCTCATCTCTTTTCAGTGCTGTCTAAATCAGCCACAGTTTACTTATTTAGTCACCTTATGAAGGACATTTTTGTTACTTCCGAATTTTGACAATTGTAAATAAAGCTTCTATAAAAATCCATGGGGAAGCTCCTTTTCCCATTTTTAAATTGAATTATTTGTCTTTTATCATTGAGTTGTGGTCATTTTTTATATATTCTAAATACAAGTTTCTTATAAGATACTTGACTTGCAAAAGTTTCCTACCATTCTTTTCGATGATCTTTCACTTTTTTGATAATATCCTTTGAATCACATTTTCATATTTTGATGCTTAATGTATGTGTTTTTGTTGTGCTGCCTCTTGTGTTTTGAGGCCATATTAAAGAAATCATTGCCTAATCCAAGGTCATGAAGATTTGTACCTATGTTTTCTTCTAAGAGTTTTCTAGTTGTAGCTCTTACATTTATACCTTTTCCTCCCACTACTGGGGATTTATGCTTGCTACGTAAACATTTATTCCTTTTATTAATTTTAAACCAATTTTTCTATATGGTGTGATATTTTTATCTTTCCACAGATACAGACTAAATTCAGAGTTGAATATATGATATCTGAAATTTACTTTAAAATATATCAGAAAAATACATTAGAAAAATAGCTGAAGCAATTATGGCTAAATTTTTTCTCTGAACTTTCCTCTCTGTTTTTGAATTTCTCTTTGAGTAATAGAAAGTAAAAAGTAAAGATAAAAATCAGAAAAAACACTCAATTAGGAGAAAAATGTCACATTGTTTTTGAAGTAAATTGCTTAAAACCTTTAGTTTTTTACAAATCATTCGCCATGTCCCAGGTAAAAACATACAAGAGAATGGATACGTTGAGTGTCTTAGTGTGGCTCTTAGAACCAGTATTTGAAAGACTTTTGCTGTAATAGGTCAAATACTAGCAATATGTATCTGTTGATTGCCTCGAATATGGTGAGTCCAAACTGCGATGTACTTCAGATGTAAATTTACATCAGATTTTGAAGACTTGGTATCAAAAATGCAAAATATTTCATTCATTTTTATGTCAATTACATGTTAGAGTGATAATATTTTGGACTAATTTGTATTATTTAAAATTAACTGTATTTGTTTCTTTTATACCTTTTTTTTTTAAACCTGGGATCGAACTCAGGACCTTGCACTTTCCAGGCAGGTACGGTGCCACTGAGCTAAATCTCTGGCCCTTATATCATTTTTTAAGTAATGTGAATTACACACATGGCATTATAAATCTGTTGGACACTACTCTTCTAGAGAGAAAAGAACTGGGCTAGCAGACCTGCATTCTAATTCCTACGCTGTCTTTCAATAGCCATGGAACTTCGGGCCATTTCTCCCATTTCTCAGCTTTAAGTTAGTTAGGGATAAATGCACTCAGCAAATATTTGGAGACTATTTGATGTGAAGAATTTGGCTAAATGAAATGGGAAGTGCAAAATGTAAAACTATCTACAAATTCAAATTATGGTTTCCTAATTTCATACCTACCCGTGAATCATTGAAGGTAGAAGTCAGCGATGGAAATTATATCATCATTTTTATTTTTCCCAGCAACATTTTATCTTAAAATAATGAATATTTTATAATATGCCCACGATCTGAGAACACATATACACAGAGTGCATATATGTTCCTTTTCTCCTCTGAGTCTTTGAGCATGTGTCTCCTTGTCCTGAAGCTTCCTCTAATTTCTTATTAGTTAACTCACGAAGTTAAGTGTACTGTGGCAGACCTTTGGTAAACCTAGTCCTCTTGCTTTTCTGTGATTCCATCCCACTTTGACTCTGATCATGGCCATGCAACTTGCTTTGACCAGTGGGATATGAGCAAACAAGATTAAGGTTGATATGCACTTGCTTTTGAGGCTTATCTTTTTGGAAGACTCCATTTAGAAACCTGCAGTTATACTGGCAGGAAGCCTGAGCACCGCTAGAGATGACCCATGTGGAGAAGGAAAGAGCCAGGCTTTTATTTAAACAGGCCATTCTAGATCCGGGTGATTTTGCCCTAGGGGGGGAGCCTCTGACAATATCTGGAGACACTTTTGATTGTCACAACTGGTAGAAGGGGGCTTTGGTAGAGAGGGGCTAAGGGTGTGGCTAACATCCTACAATTCACAGGACAGTCTCACAACAAAATAATCACCCTGCACAAATGTCACCTATGCTAAGGTTGAGAAATCGGCTATCAATCAAGGTTTCCTCACAACCTGGCTTCCAGGGATCAAAGGAAAGGGGGGCTTGGAAGAGAAAGTGTTCAAATAGAATCTTCCATAGCTGTTCTTTGAATCCTGCACATTTCCCAGTGATGGCTTGCTGTACAGTCTGTTACTCATGATGATATTTGATGACTTCCACTAGTATTAAAATGGCACATTTCCCCTTGTTTACTCTCAGCACTTTAGCACAGTAACTCATCAAATTGTAGAACAAGCAGTCATTTTCTTACTTATCCCAACCCAGATAGTGCTTCTTCCCCATGCTATCAAGGACACAGTGTGTCGACTCAGTCCTAGCTTCTAAATTCCCATCCATTAACTGGTCCAGAAATCAGGACCTTGAACTTACAATGTTTTATAATCCAGCCTTGTTATCAAAACACCATGGCCTCCCTATTCTAACAGGAAGCCACTTTGTTCTCTGAGAAGAACATGCATATAGTTAGAGAGATCACATTATTAGCCAATTCTATCTGTGAAAGAAATTTTAAAGACATAAAAATCACAGTAATATTGCTAGCAGTAACTTTTATTAGGTGAGTGTAAATATAGTTACATTAACAGATTCCTCAATAAAAATTTTAGACATATGGTTGAGTATGAGTATAAATTTCATTGCTATGGTAATTTAGAATGTAAACTTTATTTTTTATGAAATATAGCCATGTGACACTTAACGTCTGGGTATGTTCTGAGAAATGTATCATTAGGTGATTTCATCCTTGTGTGAACATCAGAGTGAACTAAACACTGTTATGGAACCCCCTTTGTTTATGTGCTTTGGCATTGACTGAAACATTGTTCTGTGGCACAGTGGACAATGAACTATAGCAGGTAATTGTTTTTCTTTTTTTTTAATAACATAGGACATGTATGCCTTCCTAAAAGGAAAGGAAAGGGGCAGAAATGCTACTGGAAATGGTGCTTTGACAACTTTTTCTTTTGGCAGTGCTGAAGTTTGAACGCCAGAGCATTGTATGTAGTAGACAAGTGCTCTAACACTGAGCTACACCCCAGAATGAGTTATTTTTTTCTTGGGGGGGGAGGTACTGGGGATTGGCCTGGGTGTTACTTGCTAGTCAATCACTGGACCACTGAGCTACATCCTCAGCCCTTGGAAACATTTTTGGTAAGCAGACAGCTACAGAAATTTAAAAGAAACACTCAACATGCAAAGTGATCCAATTTACAAAGTACAAAGACTCAGATGAAAAATGCTGGTGATATGAATAAACCCACTAATCTCTCAGATCCCAATGATAAGAAGCTAGGTAGAGTAAGCTACAGTTCAGCTCTAAGTGGCCTTTGCTGTAGGTGGCAAACCAATTCTTGCCAAATATTAGTAAAACCAGCGATTCTCTTAGGGGCTGAATTTATCTTCAGTGAGTTAAAACTGTGACTAGCATATCCAGTGCCAGTCTTCTGTGGACATAGGTCACATTCCCTTCCCCTACACATGGTCTGTGCCTAGAAGTTGGCTCTGGTACCGCATTCGCTTTTTGAGGAAAGCTTTTGTTTGGCTTCTGCCAGGAGGGCGGTGAAGCAGGCACTGACCCCAGGGACTGAGGGACTGAGATTGGGGGTCTGTCTGGAGTGGTTTGTGATCCTGGGTTCCAGCTGTTGAGAATCCAACAGGTAGGAGATTGTGAAACTGGCCCTAGGACCACCACATCTACCTACAAAGGAGTAATCTGGGGGAGGGGCTTGACCCAAGGTACCACGTAGATCAACCCTGCCTTCTTCACCTGTGGTCAGGGCTCAGGTGGCTGACGTTGCTGGCTTTCTCAAGCCGTGCTGCAAGTCTATAATTCAAGGATCAGCACAGTTAACTATTGAGAACTGAATGGCAAATATTTTAGGCTTTGAAAACCAAGAGGCAAAAGGGAAGATACAGTATAGGTACTTAGATAACAAGGGGCAATAATGAACAACTGTTCAGCTTTTATTGACAACATCCAAACTGTAGTAATATGTGAGTACATTCCTGGTAACACATAGCTACTAACAAGAGAAGAGGAATGGGTGGGGGGGGCGCTGTCTTAACTGGGATTCCAAGGTGGTGTGTGATACCATCACCTAAAGTGCAAACGTGCTGAGCTCTCTGCCTCAAACTCACGTCACTCTAAAGATCTGGCCTACAGGCTACAGTTTGCAGATCTCCTGCAGTTGAAAACCTGTCGTTTACGCTGGGTTTCTGGGTTGGAGGATCATCGCGGGCACGCACCTCCTGGGTCCCTTCTCACATTCTCTCTCTGTGTCCCAGTCATCTGGCTCCCTGATCTTTTCTCTCGAGGCACGTGGGAGACGTCAAGTGTGGGCCTGTGAGGCCCCCAGGGGAGCAAGGACCCTCTAGATCTTCCAAACTTGCAACTCTTATTGCGCGACAGCCAGCTTCCCAGCAACCTCCAGCTTCCCCTCCGCTCCTGCCCCTCCTCTCTCCCCAGCTCCTCTGGCTCCGCCCCAAGCTCCTCCCCCTTCGTCCCCGCCCCGCCCCTAGGTCCCTCCACCGCGCTTTCCCGCTCCCACAGCAGTAGCCGTCTGCGTCGCAGTCGTTGTCGCTGTTGTCGCCTTCGCAGCGTAGCGCTCGAAACCCAAGAGCTACCATGCCCAACATCGTGCTCTTCAGCGGCAGCTCGCACCAGGACCTGTCCCAGCGCGTGGCCGATCGCCTGGGCCTGGAGCTGGGCAAGGTGATCACCAAGAAGTTTAGCAACCAGGAGACCAGGTGGGGACCGCACCGGGGAAGACGCTGGGCGCGCGGCTGCGGGGCTGGGCTAGGGACCGACGCGT